GCGGTTCCTGAATTAGTTTCTTTCTTTAACAGTTCATTCATAATTGTATGGATTTCAGAATTAACGAGATGTTCGGATTAATGGGTCTAGAGTTTGATAGGTCCTATAATAGGTTAGCCGGTGTAGTGACTTCAAAGAAAATTAAGAATCAATGAAGTTACAAAATCAATAATCTGCCTCGCTAAAGCAACTCTGTGATTCTCTTGTTTGATTAATTCAGGACATGGGGGAAACAAAGATCCCTAAGCCTGCCACGTTTTGAAGCAGTGTTACGTTAAACGAGAGGCCATGATCCATAAAGCAGGGAACGAACCCGGAGTAGAAGTTTAGAAGAGAACAAACTGGTTGGGTTGTACACTTGTATGTTGTGTTGTGGCCCATGAGATAGATAATAGCTGAGCCTGAGCGGTCTCACTCGGTCTGGGGCTTGGATGTTGCTTCTACATGCCGCCCATTCAGGTACATCATCGTTGCCGCTGACTGGATTCCACCACGTGGAGGTGGAGTGGGGGACTTGGACGTCGTGCCCATTCATGTAATGTAGGTCATTTTCTATCAGGATTCAGGATCCCCACCATTAACGCGGAAAAGACCGACCGAGAAGCGTCGACCCTCTGTGCTCTCTTCATGGAATTCAGAGTTGAGACGTCCTCTTCCTTCCCAATTCCTGTATCTAAAATTAAAGCTACTGCTGGGGCGGTTTGTCAACAAAGCAAACGTGCCATAACTTGTTAGGTTACTTAGATCTGTTCTGTCTTATGTGTTAATTTGTTGGCTAGGCGACAGGCTTATGTGTTTGGTCAATTCAATTAATTTGCAATATCCCAGAATGGGCTTCTCAGGCCGGCTAGTAAAGATACTTGACCTGGATTGGACTACTTGACTGACTGTTGTCAAATGACTTTTCTCTGATCTCTTTTGAATAGAAAATACGTATCATTGGACATTGGCCGGCTCATCAACTCAGGGTGGACCACATCCAGACTTAATTTGCCACGTGTAGTGGGTTACAAGGCTAAAAGGAGTCCCAGAAATTGTCGCGACAGCATATTCGCAGGAGAAGAGAAGAGACAAAACAAATCCAACATCCAGACTGACGAGTTATGACTCGATGAATATGCAGTACACTCCTGTTTCAAAGATTTAACAGGGGTTGGGGGGGGGACCCGTATCCGACCTAGATCGTTCTCACATCCCCACAGATCAGACTCGGTCGTGAGTCGTGACTAGTCAGTCTCAAAGGGGAGAGGGAACAGCCACTATCTCTTTTACTTAACTACCTCGCATATATTCAAATCATAATTTACTCGTACCGTAATAACGAAAGCGGTTGAAATATCCTGGGTCCACGGACATATGCTATGTCCTTTATATAAGACGGTAAGACCTCAAGTATTTTGCTTTAGATCGATAGAATTAATTAATGGTTTCATTTTTACAATTTACAGTATATATACCCATCAAGTATGAAGTAGATCGACTTTCTTCTGCCGCATTAATTGCTCATTACATACATGTATAACCAATGTCTGCAGTGCTCATCGGTTTCTTCTCCTTTTAGACTTACCTAGAAAAGTAGAAAGAAATCGCCTCCCTCTCCTTCCGGGTAGCATCACTGATCAACAACACGACTGATGAAGACGCTCGACGTCGAGGGTCGGGGCCCTGTCTTTCCGGCTATTTCCGTCCAGCTGGCACTAGCAGACAATGGAGAAGTCAAGTCTCCAAGAAGAGATCAGAATTAATTCACACATTCTCTCTCTCTCTCTACTTCCTGATTGTGTTCTAATTTGTTTGTATATTTTGGGTGGTTAGGGGATAAGGACGAAAGACCATCAAGTTAATTATCTTCTCATAATAAAGATGGATCAGGAGGGGCCAAGAGCAGACATGACTGTAGTTCTGGGAGGGGTGTAGGGCGGTGCAGGTCATGGTTGCGGCCCACGGGGTCGAGGGTCCACTGGGCTCAGTGAGGAGCATGCAGGCATGGCATGGCGTGGGTGATCATTGAATTGCCTTGTCTTCTTCAGGTCGTCTAACTTAATAAGAAGAATACAAAGGTCACACAGACGAAAGAGGAGGAACACAAAGAGGAAGAGGATGAAGGTGACATTAATTGATTTAATGGGGTTGTACCACATATACTGTAGCTAAGGCATGGGTTGTCCAGAAATTGAGACTAAACCTGATCCCCACTTGTTTCCTTCTCTAGTGCTGTATCTTTCATCTTTGACCTGTTCAATGAATATCATGGATTGTTGTGGACTTGTTACTGTTATCCCCAGATAATTACAACTTTGTGGGGGGAATACATCAAAAGGTAAGGGGTAATGAATAATCAAAAAATTTATGAACCCAAACCCGACCAAGTCCAGTTGGTCGGTACCTTGAAAAAGCCGGCGTTAGGTTAATAGTTAGTTAAGTTAATAGTACTGACGACTGGCGTGGCCTGATAATAAAATCCCTTACCCGACGCTCAGGTCATCATCAGAGTCGGGTCAAAGAAATGGGGAGTTTTTCCCTTGGTTCGGCTTGAGTTTGAGTGTTCGAGAGTTGAAGCAAATACTAAGAAGGGGAGACCCAAAACAAATAAAGCCAACAACATGTCTGCACAGAAAGACATAATTTCGGATTGATATTTGTCTGTATCAATAATTAAAATTTCAAAGGTTTACTACTTAGTAGGGGTGTCGGAGATATTGGCACCGGTGCCGAAAGTGGACTGGACTTGGACTCCCGTCTCCAGATTGAGAAAATAAAGTCGCACTCTCTCAAGCAAAAGCCAAACAAGAGGACAGTCGGGGACGCTAATCAGTAATCAGTAATCAGTAATCACTGGACTGCCTAGTAAAAGGCGTAGTAGGGTTGTTGTACCTACGTTGGAGGGTTGGAGAGTTGGGGGAGCACTAGGTCTGCAACTGGGACCTTACCTTACCGGGGCAAAGGGCTTCTTTGGCTGAGGTTGGACCAAATCCATTACTGAGTTCGTCAGTTGGAGACGGTAAGCAAAGCCACATGCTCTTGTTGAATGTCCTCCACCAGCACACATCACACATGGAGTCACTATATGAGCATGTTTATATTCAGTGCCATGCTTTTAAATGCTGGTTCAACCTGAGGATCGGGTGGGTAAAACCTATGTGATGCTTACCGGTTACTAGCACGGTTCGGTAATTCTATCAGCATCACACAGGACAGGACCCGTTTATGGGTCTGGGCACCCATTCAATAGTGGGTTCTGATTCTTGAAACATGGCGGGAAATGCTGGGTTCTTTTACATTGCATCTTGAAAAAAATTGGAATTAGAAACAGAACTTGATTTTCAATTCTACGAATCTCTAGATTCCGTCATTTGAATATGTTAGTTTTTTTTTTTCTGTGTTTGCATAATTTGATTTACTCCCAAGGGCTAGTCCATCTCATTTCTGTGAAATGAAGGCAGACCGGAAATTTAAATCCCTTCCGCTCCCACAATCCAAACGCAAGAATCATGATTCTAGTGCCTTGTATCTCAGTGGGCCAAAGGCGTAAGTCAACAATCTCATACAGAAGATAAAAAACACTAATATTTCTACCGCAGAACCTTGTGTACCCTCAGAAAATAATGTTTTACATCGAAATGACTAAAGCGAAGCCAATGATACATGAAATGATATTGTCTTTCAAGTTTCAAGTTTCTAAGTTCTCACCGAGCAGATGTTTTTGTGACACTTGAACCAATAATATTGGTGACTGAACAAGTTACCCAATTTGTGGTTCAAGCGTCCACTGGTTCTCTCTCGGGGCGTAATGACTGCAAAGAACAATATGAATAAGAAGCAAGGTTTTTAAAATCGGACCGGACAGGGAAATGTTCTGGGGTCCAGTTCCCGGGTCAAATGGTCCCGCTATTCGGTCCGAATGGACAGCCCGCTCCCACAGAAAAATAATAAAAAATATAAAAAACCCAAAAAATGGCCAAAACCCATTCCCAGGTCAAACGGGTCAACGATCCAACCACCAAAGTCAACAGTTCACTGACCAAATCAATAATTTTTGGCCAAAAAGCGATTTTGGGGTTAAACAGAACCAGTCAGGAGTCCAGTTCCTGGTTTTTCCAGTCTGACTGTGTCCGAGTCTGGTTTTGAAAACGTTGATAAGAAGGCTTCACCCCTCACTATCCGAGATACCGGTGTCAATGACTCAATGTAACGTGTGTCATCAGACATGCCTTAGCCTAAAAAGTTGTACAGCCTCGGGTGGCAATCAAGTTGAAGATAAACAAATGCCATCAATTCAAGGGGAGAGACAGCGGCAAATGGTGATACATGGAATCCACAAGACCTATATATGCGCTATGACGAATTGACGATCAAAACACAACTAGGAAATCTACAACAGGCAGAACTCAGGCGAGTTGGGTCAGTTTTATGATCGACCTAGGCCAACCCAAAGATTTAAACATTGGGCTTGAGCCTGGCCCAACCTAAGCTTAACTCCACAAAACTAGGACCAGGCTTGGGTTCAGGCTACCAAAGATCTTAACCCAATCACAGCCCAAGTATATATACAGGACAGGCCTGAATCTCAGGCTCAGGCCTAGCCTAAAGCCCAAAAACCCAAGCCCAACCCATGCAAAAGCTCAGGTTGGTTGGGCCCAGGTTGGACCTACCCATCCCTTTTGCAGTTTGCACTCGTTGCTCACAAAAAAAAAAATACACATTAAGAGTTCAAATCACCAATCAGGTGAGAAATTTCTGGCGCATGTTTTTGCCTAACAATGGGAAGTGAAGTTTTGTACAGACTACAAACCTAGCCTTGGAATTTAAAAATTAGAATATTTTTCTTTATTTTTTTTTCTAGAGAGAGAGAGAGAGAGAGAGAGAGAGAAGGCATTTGCCATGTTCACGTTGATTTTTACCTTAGAACATATCTGCTTTGGGAACCAAATGTATTTACCCTCTACCTGCTGTTTGCAGGAGGATCATGAAATGCATTGGAACAAGTAAAAATCGTCTCATTGGAGAACAGACATTTGCATCAAGTTTTCTGAATTATGATAACATTTTGGTTTAAATCTCCAAGCATCTAGAATACAAAACTTAAATTTCAGACCACCCCACACCCAAAAGGCCCTCTAATGAGATCGAGGAAGCTATATATAAATAAACAACCAATGAATTGTGGGTAACTTACGCTAATATACAGTCTGTACTACTCCCCATCCATTGTTATTTAGGCAAAAAGTATCCCTCTAAACTGGGATTTGGATGGGCGGCAACATTAAAAGCCGACTTACTTCAAATGATATTGATAGTGAAGGATACATATGGATGAGAATCAGCATCGCCCCCTAAACCAACCACTCCTTCATCTTCAGATTTCCAGTAGGTGCTGCAACAACATACATTTAATAATCTATTAACCTATCATATACCAATTCAAGGACCTTAAATATAAATATCCGCTGAGTATAAATAAATGAATGAAAATACAAATATACATATGTACATATGCATGTACGATGCCTATTACGATAGCTAAACTATCAAATTAAGGACAACTTGGGTAATTCATAAGATACAGAAAAGACTGCATAGTCAGACTGTAAATCATCACCAACAGCGTTAAAACAGTAAAAACAGTATTGTGAAACAGGAAATGTTTTGATGAAGAAATGACCTGTTCAAAAACTTCTCTATGAACCATTATTCAGCGGAAAGAATGGTTTTCTAAGCGACTTAGAGAGAAACACTCAGTAGCTCTTGTGCTAACATAAGTGCGATAGAACCTAGTTCCTAGTTTTAGATTACTTGGTAGAAATCTTCCCAAACTAAACCTAACCTTACTGAACACTGGGCTGGGCTACCTATCACGTGTGAACACACCAGTGCTCACTGCTGGCCCCATCTGTACTGAACACTGGCATTTCCAACCGTGATAGGTAACTCAGCCCGGTGTGCACATTTTTGTCTCCAGCTCATCCGGACTCACATTGAAGATCCCATTTAGCTATTAGACAAAATACCAGCTTGATTGGACACCTCTAAGCTATGTTACCCAAGTATGGCTAGGAAACAGCTGGACAAAGTGTCAGCTACAGAATTTACACTAAAAATTGAATTATGCTCCCTTGTTTAGCCAACGAGTCTGCTAAACAAGAAAGATTGAATCTCTTATTTTGTTCAGTAAGCATGAGATTTCATTAATTTAGGTTAAACAAGTACAAATTGAAGCTGGTGCTTATGAACCCAGCTCCCCATTACAATTTAAATTTAAACCCGATTATAATGTTGTCCTAAAAATTGTTCCCTAGACACCCCTTGCTTGGCCAATGAATCAGCCATCCCATTTGTAGTTCTCTTAACCCATCTGAAAGTGGCTCCGAATTCCTGTGCTATACTTCTATCTCCCTCATATTTTGTCTGTAGGTCCAAATTCCTAGGTTGCTGTCACTCACCCAAGGAATTACCAATTTTGAAGCACCCTCCACCTCCACATGTTGAAACCCAAGTTGTTTAGCTATATTCATTCCTTGTAGTAGTGCTATCTTCAAAGAAGATTCAATCTTGTAGTTGATTAATTTATTCCATGGGATTGGATTCCCTTGGGTTAAAAAAATCTTCAATATATGGATCACAAATTGAATACCAATTTTAACAGTGGAAGTAATAGTAGTTAACTCCGACAGTGTGAGCTTCTCTTACACTGCCAGTCCCAAGCCCAGATAAAGGAACCAGGTTGGCAGCCAGTACTAAATTTTTTTCCGAACTCATGATATGGATCCGGATTTGTCTTTCTGTGATCATACTAGGGCATTCTCCAAAAACAGCAGGTTGTACCCTAACCCGAGTGTAGTGTTAAGAGAGCAAGGGTTTGCTACGATAGTCCCCGTAAATGACCTGCCACAACAACGCTCGGTTGTGTCAAATAGGCAAGCGTTCCTACATCCTTTTTGGATGGAGATGGGTAAAGAAGCTAGTCCAAGAAACATGACTCCGTTTAACCACTTGGAATGTAGAAACATTAACAAGAAAAACTATGAAATTAGTAGACACTATGAAAAGGAGAAGGGTTAAATATTGCATGCCTACAAGAAACTAAATGGAAGGGTAAAAAGTCAAAGAAATTGATGGTTACAAATTATGGTATAATTGAGAGGTAAATAATAGAAATAGTGTAGCGATAATAGTAGATAAGGATTTAAAAAAAAATTGTAAATGTTAAAAGATTTGGGAATAGAATAATTATAATTAGACTTGTTTTAGGTGAGGAAATCATTAACATAATTAGTGCTTATGCACCTTAAGTGGATTTAGAAGAAAACATTCGAAGACAATTTTGAGAAAACTTGGAAGATTTTTATAGGAGACTTAAAATGAATATGTAATGAAATGAAGTGTAGGATATAATATGATGCAGGTTTGGGGAGAGAAATGAATCAGGATGTACAATATTAAATTTTGCATATGATATGGCAATAGTAAACACAATGATGAACACTTCAAAAAGATCTTTTCCTTACGAGGAGAATAGAACAAATGATATGTAAACATTGTAAAGTTTGACCCCATCACCATCATTCATGCCTTACTGAAGTAACCAATTCACTAAAAGCTCTCTGTTGGCTAACAGGAGAATTCAATTGTGGAACAATTCATCTCAAGTACTCTGGTTATCCAAAATAGTGGGTAATTGGTCATTAGGATGATGCAATGCAGCAATAGGGAAAATGTTCCCTATAACATCTCCTAGGCCAACAGGAACTGACAAAATGGAGGATGTTAAACTTTTTGGTATGTTTTTTTATAGTTGAATTCTTTGCTATGTTACCATATGCATCACCCATTCCCAAGTCCTAATTTTTCTCTTGCTCTAATTATTGAAGTTCACTTGACATATGTCTGTCATAAACGTTACAAAATAGCTAAGACAATAATTAGGGAAAAAATAAATCTGTGAATGTACATAGCTTAATGGCTCACCTATGAGTGCTGTCACACAGCCCTTCCAGGATAGAGCGAACTTTCTTTTCATTTTTAGTAGATGGCGCTAACACTGTTGCCTGAAATCAGATCAAGGACCAATGCTTTGTCAAAAATAAAACCTAGGGTTAAAAACCCAGCAATATATTTGAGGTCTTATGAGAAGGATTACCAAGAAAGATGGTGGCAGGCCATATCGCAGAATGCTCTCAGCAAAAACACGTACAGCACAGAAGTGCATCCAGGAGCTGAAAACCTGCAAGTTAAAACATTCCAAAAAAAAAAAAAAACTGAAATATGTGGACTTACTGAAAGAAACACACAAAAAGACCACCCAAGATAGGTATAATACAAAAGAAAATAGTAGTAAAAACTACCACATGACAGAACTATTCCAAAGCAGCAAGAATTACCTCTCTATAGGAGCACAAGATAACTAGAAAGAGAAGGGACTCAATGACAGGTTTTAAGTTGTTTTAGTCTGCTGTATTCCACCAAATATAGGCACATTACAACTTGGACATCAAGGAACAACCCCAAAATCAATAATGAACTTGGCAAGTTACACATACTTCATCAGGATCCTCTCTATCTATCATAATGATCCAAAAAAAAAATGTTGATCTATAAGGTAGAAAGGTAGAATAGGGTATGAACAAAGGAAAAGTTGCAAGCATCATTCGCAGGGACACACCTAAAAGTTCAACCAAATTCAACAATCAGATTAACCTGATTTTCCAATATGGACTCTTTTGGACAGTTATTAAAACCATTATTTCTAGAATTTTCTAAAACTTCAAGCAATCAGATGGTCCTCATGAGTCATGAGAAACAATACAAATTTTGGCCTAGGTGAGCTCCTAGATAGTACCAAACTACCAACTAAATGCTGGGCCCAAACTCCAAACACTTCCGAAAGCCAAAGCTAGAATGGCTTAGTTACAACCTCTCATCCATGTGTTTTTTCCCTTAGTAAATCGGTAATCAAGTCCCATCTGAAATGGTTTATTTAAAATAAGTCTAACCTATGCAAAACTAGTGGATAAACACCAACTCCCACTTCCTGAAATGGTGGCAATCTTACCTCTAATGCAATAGATGATTCAATATGAATGCAGTAAAAATGTTGGTTTACCAATATTTATATAAAATGCAAGTTTTCTTTCCTTAAAAAAAATATTACATAAAATAATTGAAGTGAGGATGGACCATTTGGTGCTGATATTCCTGTGCTTAAATTCGGTTCCCTATTTGTGCATAATCAATATCTTTTCTGCTTGAGTTATTTTATTATTTTCAGAGACCTCTCCTATGTATAGCTGCTCATTTCATATGAGCTATACTTGTATTTTGATACCCTCATAATTAATACAAATCTCACCTCGCCTTCCCAATATATAGGCATTTTTATGTACATGCATATTAACCATAACAATTTTCAAAACAACAAATATGTTATGAAAGCATTTTATGATTGTGACTCATAAAAAAAAAAAAAAGCATTTTATGATTGTGTATATGGAAAAAGGTTCCCTAATCAGGTCAAATTCAGAGATTCCCTACACAAAGTAGCATATTTTTGCCACATAGAGGGATAGCATGGGAGATCTCAATTGTCTACCTGTCAATCCTACTGTCCACATTAGCCTATATGACACCTTGTATTGATATCTTCACCAAGTAACATTGGTTGTTCAGTGTTAATTTTTTATTTTAAAGAGTCTCCTCATAAAATGGACTTATTTAGACATCTCTAGGATTTTTTGAGCTAAAATTTGTCTCATAAATAGAGGGTAAAGATTAAAGAGACAAAGACATGGAGGCCTTCTGGGAGTCCAGATCTTGTGGTGTACCAGTAACTACTGCAGATATCATTTCCAGTAGATTGAGACTCACCTTTTGGGTCCCAAACAATATCACAACAAGCAACATTCCTGGATCGTTTAGAGTTCTTCACTAAATAACTTGATTCGAAAACTAAAAATTTGTCCACTCTATATCAACAAAACCAATAACAAATTACAATATTTAACGCATTTTGTTCACTACAAATCCAGTCGCAAATCCATACTAGATTTTTCTTTTTTTTTTCTTTTGGGGAACATTCTCTTTTTTTTTACCCTTTTTAGAATGAAAAGTGAAGTATTGTATTATCAGCCTAACTCAGGCAGATACATACAGGTATAAGTTCATGTAAAGTGAGACACTATATACTAAATAAACAAAAAGACACAACTCCAATCAACAAGAGAACTGAATTGTAGTTATTTACTAGACTACTGGACATCAGTAACCTGCACAACATTTTCAGATGAAATTTTCTGAAACAGTATTTTGAGTTTAAAAAAGAATATTGTGTCACTAGAGAAATGGAGGGGGGAAGACTACCAAAGAAGACAGCAATCAAATGGCAGTCTAACCAACTTTGCACTCACTATAGAATATGAAACTGATTTGAGCCTTACATTCAACCTTATTTCACATCTTAAATATTTAAGAAAAATGGCACATCATGTGAAGTTCATGGAATCAGACTATTTACATCAATATAATAGAATATATAAAAGAGCACACAAGGTTCTGAAATTAGACATTGGTTTCTTGGGTAGACATATAGTGGTACTATACAGAAGAAAAACTCATAGCATAATCTAGGAAAAGAAGGAAACTTTCCCACTTATCAACTACTGAATATCCAAGGATAAGAATAGATGCAAGTATAAATTTTACCTCCCCATAACTAGTATAGCACCACAGCAGAAGGGAGCCTCTTAAAGTTTCCTGATCCTGCATAAGCTTTTCCAACTCTCTCTTCCGACTTTCTTGTGTTTCTGGGCTATATTCAAATTCACGAATCTGAATCACAAGAAGACTCATTATGAAGAGATTTCCATTTAAACTAAATGTCAAACAAGGGGTACAAAGAAAAAGGATTAGGTAACAATTAGCATAATTTGAAACTATTGCATTTGAGAATTGCAATATATATATATATATATATATATATATATATTTTGATGAATGAAATTGCAATAAGTTTTTTATCCATAAGGTATAGCTATTTCTCAAGCATCCTTGTATGCAAAATGACTCACCTGAAATCCTCTTTCACGTGCACTTGTTTTGAAATTATCAGCAACACGTCCAAAGAGAGTAACATTGTAAAGAGCATACTCGTTGTCCTCGTGTAATTTCTTAGAGGACCTGGGAACCTAAAATAGTGTAGCTTAATTAATACACAGTGATAATCACCCAAACCATATTCTAGCATTACAGCCCTAAGGCACCATCCACAATACATAGAAACCAATATAACTGGTCAGTTTCCATAGCCTAACAAGCCTTTCTGCCAAACATATCCACCACAAAGTGTAAAGAATTGATACTAAATCTTACCACATAACTGGTCAGTGTTTCATAGCTCGACAACCAGTCTTTCTGTGAATACTTGGGAACAATTGCAAGGAGTGTCACTAAATGTTCTGATGTAATTATATCCTCTGGCTTCACCAAATTTGAAAGATCACGGACAGCTAAGCTGCAATAACATAAAGACATCAGGCACATAACTCCTAATAGGAATCCCATATGCAGATTTAGCAGCACTTAAAAAGAAGATAGAAGAAAAACTCAAAAATGGTTCAATGTATAACATCATACAAACAGAAAGGTCCACTCTCAGATTCCATTCTAAAAGAGTCTGTTACCACAGTTATACCTTCCACTTTGCTTTCGGTTTATTGCATTAAGTTGGCTACGGACATTGTTATACTCAGCAACACGAACCTGGCAAAGTCAATATGAGAATATGTTAATTTACACAGATTAAGTTACAGGTGAAACTGCTACAAAGGAATTTTCACAGTTATTGCACTAAGAGATCAAAGTTCAAAATAAGACAGAAAATGAAGAAAAACAGCAAATTGTTGACTCAAATAATTAAATCTTGCTTTAGATTTTAGATCCCATAGGAGATGTTTTCCACATCTAGAAAGGATTAGCAAGTAGAAAACCATGGCTACCTTGCTTTAATAGAATTACGATCAACAAGGATGGAATGACAGAACATGTTTTACGTATCTGTCCCCAAGTAGATGAGATAAAGCTAATTAATGATGATACGGATCTTACAAGTGGCCCTCTTTTTTTTATTTTTTTTTTTATCTTTTGCTTAGTGTTCATCATGTGCACTGATCTTTTCTCTGCCTTTTAATTTCTAGTAGAAACCCTTTTGATGACTGAAAAGGGTAAACTCAGGGACTAGGACTCTAGCAGAATGAACGACGTTTAGAAGTTTTGCAATGCATGGTAGTTCACAATGCTACCATGGTATGTGTCACAGGTCTCCACAGGCACTTGGAATGCAGAACTTTAGGCTATGTTTGGTTTGAAAGAAAAGGTAGGGAGAGGAAGGCAAAGGAAGGGAAAGGTAGGTTTGTATAGGCTTCCCTACCTTTTCTTTCAAACCAAAAACAGCTTTAGATATTGTGAGTCGTTACATGGAAACAAGGCTATATATAAGCCGGAGCCCCTATCTCAACTAAATGTGGAGGCCATTGATGGGCTTGTGTGGACATACACCCTTCATGGGAAAGTTACAACCTCATCGTGCATTAAGTTGCTTACCACTGATTCCCCAAGTGGGTCCACATCTAGCTTCCTTCACAATGATATGAAAAGGAGATACCTATGTTAGATGAAGCTCTTACCCCCCTCAGTCAAGCTGTTTGTGTGGAAATGTGTATATAATGTTTTSCCTTCAAAGAAAAGACTTGCCAGGCACTCTCATTTCAATGATATTGCATGTCCAGTCTGTGGGGAAGATGTTGAAACTGTTTTTTTTGATAAATAAAGGAACTTTTTATTAATTTGGAAAAATTAGCACATACAAGCAGCCCTTGGAGAGGTGCGAGCTGCGATCTCTCCACTAAAGAAGAAAACAAAAGTAATAAGTTGCAGTTCTGCCCAATACAAAACTTCCCTAGCTGCCCCTTGCTTGGCTAGACAGTCCGCCATAGCATTTGCTGATCTCCCCACCTATTGTATTCTTAGATCCATGTTTCTTGTCAGCACCTTAAACTTTTTAATTTCATTCCTGAAGAACCAACTTACTGACTCTCAGTCCTGCAACCAGCTTATTACAACCTTTGAGTAACCTTCAACTATTAGCTGGTTCACCCCTAATTGAGCTGCAAACTGTACACCTTGCAGGGCAGCAAATATTTCTGCTCTAGTAGAGTCTCCCACTCCTAACAGACCTGAGAAGATAAATATCACATTCCCGACTTCATTCCTCAACACCCCACCTAACCCAGAAGGACCTGGGTTTCCTAGATTACTTCCGTCAAAATTCAACTTCAAGAAGCCTGCAGGAGGTGATGACCAGCTTGTTCTCACTTTAGTCTTGGAAGAGGAACAACTTGCCACTGCTGCCCAATTCCTCCAAATGTCATTAAAGGAGAATTGGTGAAACAAGTCCAAAGATTTCAGCCAATGAATCACCCTAACCAGGATGCAGTCCTTTATCTCTTGAAGGTTCCTTTCCTTTTCCAAAAAAGTTCTAGCATTCCTTTCTTCCCAGATTGTCCATATCAATGCAGCTCTTGCACACCTCCACATGATTTTACCCCTTTTCTGTTGCCAAACAAAAGTAGAGGGATCAAAAAGCATTCTTAAATCTGCTGGCAAGTTCCAACTGCTCCCAAACAAAGAGAGAAGCCAATCCCATAACTCTGCAGTAAAGGAACAAGAAATTAACAAATGATAACAGTCCTCACTCTGAGATCTGCATAGGATGCACCAGTTGGGGGAAATACAGAGAATGCCAACAGCCAATCCCATTATCCAAGGTATTTACTTTCCCATAGTGCCAACAGAATGCCAAGATCTTAGGGGGAACAGGTCTGCACCAAACTTCCTTAACAGGGAAAGCCTGCTGAGGGTTAGAACAGCAAAAGGATTTGAAAAAAGAAGCACAAGAGAAAGATCCTTCCAATCTAGGTGTCCAAATTCTTTTGTCAGTTTCAAAGGGGTTCAAACAAACTTGCTCAAGAAGGCAGAGTAAACTGACTAAGCACTCAATCTCCTCATCCCTTAAGCCTCTACGGAACCCAAAATCCCAAGTAGGAGCCCAAGGGGTTTCCGATGAGGAGCAAAATTTGGAAACAACCTCTTTTTTGTATCGAGAAACTGAGAACAAGGAAGGGAAAAGGGTTTTCAGGGGAACATCTCCAACCCAACTATCCTCCCAAAAGAGGGCGGAGTTGCCATCACACACATCATACCTGATATGACTGAGGAACTGAGTAAGAATATTGTGCACTGCCTTCTAAGGGGTTGTCGAAGTTGTCTGCCTTGATACACCAACATCTCATCTATTCCCTGAGCATCCATATATCCTTCCAATCACCTCATGCCACAACCTGACTCTCTCTAACGGCCACCTCCACAGCCACTTCCCCAGTAAGGCTGTATTTTTCTGAATTAAGTTCCCTAGTCCCAAGCCCCTTCCTCTTTACTCCTACACACCACCTCCCACTTAATTAAATGGTCTTTTCTATTTTCCCCTGGTTCCCAAAGAAAGTCTCTCATTAATTTTTCCAGCTTCTTAGCTTCCCTAGTTGGGATCCTAAAGACAGAGAGATAGTAAGTTGGAAGGCTTGCAAGTGTAGCTCTTATTAAGGTGATTCTTCCCCCCAGAGAGATGTAGTTCTTTTTCCGTGAAGCCAATCTCTTCTCAAACTTCTCTACAACTGGGCACCAGAACCTACTCTCCCGAGGATTTGCTCCTAAAGGAAGCCCCAAATAGGTCAAAGGACAAGTAGAGATAGAACACTCTAAGCACTCAGCAATAGCCTCCACTTCTCTTGACTCCAAATTAACCCCTGCAATGCAACTCTTTTCAAAATTGATTTTCAAGTTAGACATACTTTCAAAGTTCCTAATCAGCATCTTTAATCTTCTCACCCTCTCAATCTCAGCCCCTTCACAAAAGATTAAAATGTCATCCACGAACTGGAGATGGGTAACTGGGGTCTCATTTCTACCAACTCTCCACCCTTTAACTACACCTTCTCTATCAGGTTTGGGTCTTGGCTTGCATGCAATTTTGACCCCTTCATCATCAGTATATGGATTTAACAGAGTTTATTGCACTGTGATGGAGGATGGATAAGGAAGGTAATAAAGGAGAAGATGGATGGTTGTTGCAAGGAGGCATCAATATGAGACAAACCCAGCTTGCAAGAAATAGTACATCTTCCAAGGAGTACAATTTGAGCCCATGAAGATCATTTTAAGGGCTCACATCCAGCTGAATCTTGTGTTGGGTTTGTGGCATAGTGATATTCATACTAATCTTAATCCTCCCTCCGAGCAGCCTTCAGTTGTACATTGGCAAAACCTCCATGGGGAACAATTAAAGTTAATGTTGATGTTGCAGTTGGTCAGGACTACGCGTCTCTTGGAATAATTGCTAGAAACCACAGGGAAGATTTCCTTTTTGCTTGTGCTTGCAAAATCCCTACTTGTGAACCTGAGCTTGCCGAAGCATATGCTTTTCTAAAGGGCTTATCATTTGCCAAGTCTATGCAGTTCCAAGATGCTATTATAGAGTGTGATGTGCTTAATATTGTTAATCTACTGTTGGTGGATGAAGCCGATCCACCATGGAGACTACACAATGTGATAGTCCACTGGAGAGGCTTTCTTTCTCACCTTACATCTTACTCAGTTCAACATGTTCCAAGAGTTGTTAATAATGCTGCACATTGTATAGCTCATCATGGCTTAACTCTTAGTCGATCTTGCACTTGGTCCATAATTCCTGACTTTTTAAGTCATGTGATTCTATCAGATTTGATAACCGAGTCGGATGAATGAATATGCCTATGGGCTTTTTCGAAAAAAAGGAAAGAAAGAAAATTTTGAAAAATCAATGTTTTGACAGTTTATTGGTTGTGTCCTTTCTTATAAACATTGTTTAGGAGTTTCAAGTGCCAAAATATTCTTCTGACTTCAGATTAGAGTATCACCAAGTTAAGACCATTAGTTTTGGAGCTATACCAGTAATGGTGGTAATTCGTAAGGAAGAATTTTTGCAAAATGGTTTTCCTTGTCCTTGAGTGAACGAGAACACAGATGCAGGGACTATTCCACAATCAAACAGACAGATTCTTGTGTTCTTTCAGTAATTACCATGATTCTATTACCATGCAACTTTTTATGATTTCAAGGTTGTAAACATTTACAGTTGAGTCGTAAAGTGTCCACAATATATTGTATATAATGTGCTAACATTTATCATCCTTTCTGATATAGAGTAATCTTGGATTTTTTTTTTAAAACATGTTAAAATATTGTATTTCATTATCAAACGGCATAGTAATAAACTTTTCCATTAGTTCYGCCGATATTACAGCGTTACAGACCTTAACTCTCAAGAAAGCTACAAGAATCCTGTTTTGCCACATCCTCATCAAATGCTGGACTCTAAGTGATGCAAAGTTTGCTTCTTCAAATGTATTTTGGGTTGGAGTACCCTTGTACTTCATTATATAGGTGCATTAATTACTGAAAGGATGAGATCATTAATTGTAAAGTTGTCATTATGTCCTCTGATGTTTTGATGTATAAATATAATCTTAAATAAGGGCAGACAAAGAAATGGATAAAGTGGTTAACTAAATCTAATGATCATCAGAGTTTGGCAAAAGTTTTCTGATGCCAATGTTTTAATTGATGAAATGAATGCAAAATTAAGTTTATGAACAATTACCTTAGAAATAAGAAGTTTTAAAATAAGTAGGACTAAAAAAGAATATGTGATATGTAAATTTAATAATAAGAATGAAAATCAGGGAACACTTAGGATTGGAGACCAAAAAATAACTCACTGTGAACTTTTCCAATGCCTTGGTTCAACAATTCATAACAAAGGGAAAGATCGAGAAGGATGTTGCCCATAGAATCAGAACAGAATTGGCAAAATGGAGGGATGCATCCAGAATCTTATTTGATTGGTGAATACCAATTAGAGTAAAAGAAAAATTCTATAAAAAATAATTGTAAGGCCAGCTAAAGAGTGTTGGGCAGTCAAGAAACATTATGTCCAAAAAAATGAGTGTGGCAGAAACACATTTTCTGAAATGGGTGAGTGTAAAAAATAGAAAAGATAGGGACACAAATGAAGACATTCAAAGGAAACTAGAAGTAGCTCCAATAGGTGATAAAATGAGAGAAAGTAGAAAGATGGTTCAGTTAAGTGCATAGAAGACCTTTGACAGCAGCGGTGAAGGAGTGATGTCTTGCAAGTTGAAGGGGCTAAAAGGGGTAGGGGTAGCAAAAAAGGGGGAATTTAGAGTTCAGTCCACCTCAGGGATTTTTATTAGGTTTTTGGGTTTTATATACCAACAACTCCACCTATGATTCACAACCCCCCTTGAATTGTGATTCATTCCCCCACCTGTTACTGTTCTAAAGTTTATGGGTGGACTGAACAATAACCACCCCCCCCCCAAAAAAAAAAAAGGAAAAAATGTGGAAGTGGTAAGAAGTACTAATAATTTAACAATAGATATGGCATTAAACAGAACAGAATGACTTCGAAAACGGATTTCCTGTAACCGACACCATATGATTGGGATATAAGGCTTGGATGATTTTAGATTATTAAAAAAATCCAATAAGCAGGGAAGAACCATTACCTTGAGATCATCTTCAATTTTAGATACTTGAACATGTATGCTATCCACAATCTCCCTCAGAGGTGACATGGTAGGGTATTTTGCTTCATCCCAAACAAATCTGCATGGCAGAAACAAATTGAGCCTCGTAAGAAACAGACTTCTGGTAAGATCTCAACTTTTCTTTCTTTCTAGTTCATTCTTCTTCTTCTTCTTTTGGCGATGGATAGCAGTTTAGTGGTCAAAGCCATATTCACTCAAACATCATTACCTCGTGAGGTATGAATCAACAGGAACCCCATCGACCGTCAATGCACTGCTCTCAACACCAGAAGTCCTCTCCAAATCCTCGATCTGACGCCTAATCTTCTGAGATACTCCTTCAATGAAACTATTAGACTGCACATTCCACAAATCAAAGAAAAAGGATCACTTCAATATAAAATTAGAATGAAAGAATATGTGGAATTCGATTTTGAATCTTGAAAAGGCTACCTTCAAAATATCATCACTGAGCGACAGAAGAGAATCTAGAGTTCCTACACGGAGATCAGGCGTATTGAACTGCAATGTTAAAGAAAAAAAAACCATGCTGGGATTCAATCAAATTACCAGATAATATCATCTGATAAACGAATTTGATTTGGAAACGATTAAAAAAAATTCTGTTTAGATTACCCTGTAAAGTGGGGTGTCAAAGGAGTTCTTAGAGATCGCTTCCTGTAAACGACCCCATAGGGATGAAGCGGAGGTTTGAACGGGAAGAGAAACCACCCAATATCTTGCCACTGCCGCCATTGAAGTTGGATATTTGGAGCTGCGAATTCTGGAAGTTGGAGGCTTGGTGCAGAAGGGAAGAGCGTGTTGTAGAGCCTGGAAATTTCCCACCCTCTGGCTGATCGGATTGAGAAAGGAAGCGTTAACAACGAAAAACAAAAAAATTGTACGATAAGTAAGCATGCGAATGCAAAAGAAATCATGATGAAAAATACCGCCCACCGTGGGGCTCGAACCCACGACCACAAGGTTAAGAGCCTTGCGCTCTACCGACTGAGCTAGACGGGCTTGTTGTAAACGTGAATTAATAATATATATTAGATCATATCTAGGAATCCTTGGGCAGTTGCGTATCCCGACTCGACCACAGTCACAGATCAATGCAGCCTGCAATTTACACAGACTGGGCTTGTCCTCGGCATGTGCGTAGGCTTAAGCCCAAACTTTGGGTTTTACTTTTATTTTTTCAATTAGACGTAGGCTTAAGTCCAATTCAACTATAAACATGTATATATACATAGATACACGATTACATGTATGCATATATGCATGCACACATTTATGTCAAACTTAAGAGTGGGTTGATTGGTTGTCATCGAATTGACCATAAATGTGGCCTAGCCCGTTCAACTTGTATTTTTTATTACTATGGCTGCAACTTGGGCTCGATTAATCCAAATCCAATCAGAAAAGATAGGTCGCCTTGCCATGAATTTTGAGTTAGGGTTGGGGTTGAAAAGTATGAATCCAATTTAATTTTGGGTTTTGGTTAAGGTTGAGGTCTTGGCCAATTTTAAGACTAAGTTTTGGAGTGCTTATTTGAGGATCACATAATAAGCACTTATTTGTGTTTGAAAAATAAACCTGAAATAAGCATCTATTTGAGAAACCAAAATTTTAGACTTATTTTTAAGTGTTTATTTCCTTTATGGCCTATCTTGGCCCATCACAAAATTCATGGGGACTCTTCCCCTATGGTCTCTCTCAAGAGGGGGTTTCTCTCTCATATCTATAGATGTGAGTTTCTCTCTCACACTCTCATGTGAATGTTTCTCTCTCATCTGTGGATGCGAGATTATTTGCAATTCTATTGTTATCGGCATTGATTATAGAGATTCTTGTGACGGTTTTGATCCAGGCCCATGGAGAAGATTTCAGATCTCTGGTTCTACTCCTCGCCAACTTTATTCAATCTCTTTTCATTTTTCCCTATCTGTTTGGTATTGGTTGCTTGTGTGAGGCACACTTTTTGGGGTCTACCATGGGACTTCATTTGTTTTTCCTTTGAACACTTCAGTCGCTAATTTGGGGATGGTCTAGGTATGATTTTCTTTCAAAATTGGTTTTGCCCTTTTAATCAAGTTTATTTCAAGGGAATTTTGTTTGCTTCTCGTTTGCCGACAATGGTGCCACTTCCGACCGGCTCTTGGGCTTATTGTGTGGTTCTTTACTCTTGCTGTTGAACATTGAGGTTGATGTTGCTTTCTCTCCAGTGTTTTTGCTTTCAATGTGTTGAAATAAGACATTTTTTGAGTTGTTCTCTACACATGATGCCGCGTTTCCCGGCCACCATTTCAAGCGACCTTTGAGTTATCTCTGTCAATGTCCATGCTCCAACTGTTTCAGTTGTATGACTTGGGTAGTTTGGGAGTGTTTTGTGCCCCTACATATACAAAATGCTATGTGGATTTCTTGCTTTTGTTGTGAGGCCCATTCGGTTGTTTGGCGGGTTACAGTTTGTTATGTGGATTTCAAGCTACTTGGGCATAACAATTAACAAACGTGTTTGTAGGAGAAGCTCTTTGGCCTCTCGGCATCCACATTTACGTTGATTTCTTGTATTTTTTGCCATGGCTCTCGTTTTCTCTACCCCCCTTCTGTGGGCTATGCATTGTTGGTCAGGTCCCACATAGTAGGGGGCTACACTTGCTGGATTTATCTCTGTTGGAGGCATTAGGCATATTGCCGACCTTTTAGCATTTCTTGAGTTTGTGCCATTTGAAGAGATTTTTCGAGTTGTTTTCTCCCAATGCTCTTGGTTACCTGTTTTAGTCATATCTTGTTTAGACTGCTTTTATAGTTGTTGGTTTCTCTTTCTTACTATTACATTTTCTACCTTGTAACGTGAGCAATTATGAATGGAACTGCCTTTAGGTGTAAAAAAAAAAAAAACTTGGCCAATCATGTTATTTTTAAAATACTTATACTACCCCTATTYTAAATAAGTGTTTTTTTACCAAACGTTCATAAGTGTTTTTTAATCACTTATTTTCCAAATAAGCATTCCCAAATTTAGCCTAACCCGAGGTTAATAAATATGTATTTATGTATACATGCAATTATGTACATATCTATATATTAATATATATATATATATGTAATTATTTTTCAGTACAAGTATTGTGTATTTATATATTTATCTATATGTGTATATTATATGTAAACAAAATTGAGTTTAAAGGCCTTTTTAATAAAATATAATGTGTATTGTTTTACATGTAATAATGCTAACGGTGAATTAACAATAAACCCCTAAAATTTATGAAAAAAAAAATACAGATGAGAAAGGGAAGTAGAGAAATCGGGTCAACCTGAGCCCAATTGAAACCCAATCTGATGCTATTCGAGTTAGGTTAGGGTCAAGGGTTCAACAATTTGGTTTGGGTTAGGGTTTGCCTTAACTGGACTTAATCCAGCCTAACTTTTTTTTTTTTTTGACGCCATAATCCAGCCTAACTTGCACACATACTAATAAGACAATATATATATATTGTGCATCCACTTCACCATGCAACAAAAAGGACGTGATGGTAAATGCACATAATTAAACGTGAAAATGCATTTTATGAAAAACGAATAAAATTTAAGTGTGACTGGTTGAGAATTTGAGATATGGATTTAACAACCGATGGTAATGAATACATCATAGTTTAATTTTAAAATAACGCATAATATTAATATTATCATTGATATTTTTTAAACATTCTAATTGTACATTTTTTTGTATGAATTAATTGTATCATACCAATTCGTTTGTTTTCAATAGTATATTCATTTTAAAATGGATGATAGATAAATATATTAAATATATAATGCCTAAAATAAAAGGCCATAGGTTATTTCACATTTTTGCTGGTTAGAATTCAGGATCCGTTTGGTTTACAGTTGAGATCGTAATTGAAATCCATAGAACTCAGAATYTGAATGGTTTATTTCCATAGTCTGTTTGGTTTAGATAGGAATTGTAATGGGAGTTAGAATTAACTAGAATGGGATTTCATTCGAAATGGATCAGGAGGGAATAACCATCCTCTCAAATGGGAAATGTCATTCCATTAGAAATGAGAATGTGATTTCAATTCTGCCCAACTAAACAATTGGAATCTAAATGGGGAATGCCACTAAGTTGATCATAAAACATACAAAAGTTCCACTGAGCTCAATTGCACTCGTGCTAAGGGGCGCTCATGGTTCAGTGGCCTGTTTTCCAAACTGAATCGATAATATTGATTTTTGGAAAACCAGAAACCAAAACTGAACAAAGTTGATCAGTTAACTGTGAGTTTGGTTCATCATTTTTTTGGTTTTATATTTTTATAATATATTATATATTATAAATATATATTTATATGTAATGCATATATTCATTGATAATATAAAATATATATGAAAAAACATATATTATATACATAAATATATAATATATATATCGGTTCAGTTAATCGCCGATATCTTCAGTTATTTGAAAATACTAAACCAAATATCGCACCAATCGATTTGATTTCGTCCATTGGGTTAGGTTTCGTGGAAAGATATCATTGGTTGTACAGCCCGCTGAAAAGCTATTGCATTCAGATAATCCTTGTCCATTCCGCCATCATGTTCACGTAGAATCGTGTATGGCTCTGTCAGTCCGACAGGACGCGATGTATACAGATCTCAGTTTCACATCTGCGCCTCACAACGTTTTACAGCAGATCCCTACCATGTATTAAGAGCATCTTTCAATGATAGTATCAGAAGTGATGATATCATCAGGAGATAGTTTTTAATACACGGCGGAGATGTGCTGTGAGACGTTTGAGGCGCCCCTTACTCTACAGATCCTACTTGGGGGCCTGGGACGCAAACGCAAGCCTTTTGCGGCGGCCATTTGACGACTGCTTAATTGATTGAACTGAATTCCTTATTGGCATGTCTTTAAATGAAATATACATTATTCATTGCAAGAAAAAGAAAAAGAAAAAGAAAACTAATAAGCGGTTCAGTTCAATAAATTCAGCTGTTTCCGAGCCGCACCTCTTCATTACCTGTTTAACTGTTATTACTCGGGAGCTTTACGGAATGAAAGGCAAACAAATCTCGTCACTGTCCGGTGCGAAAGCCCAAGGTGGAATAACAGAGTGGAACTACATTTTTTGTTTCTTTTTGTGGCTGGACATCGCTTCATTTTTCATCTGCTCCGTCGTCTCTCTTCAAATCCTCGAGAGTAATTAGGGTTTGTCTCTGAAAGCCTCTCTATCGAGCGACTCCAGTGCCGGAAGCTGTTACCATCGTTCAGAAATTTTCAAAATTTCTTTGATGAGGCTCTTGCAGCTGTGTCTAGCAATTTCTTTGACATCAGGCTTCGCAGCGATCTTTATCTACATTACTGGAGTCTCGACCCTCTGTAAGCTATCGTCTTTTATGTGCACAGCTATACTGTGTTAAATTTCCGTACTTGTTTCGAAGTACACGTTTACGATCTGATTTTCTTTCTTTATTTTGTCATTCCGTTTATTCTGTTTGACTTTCTATTTGATCTATAGATGACAAATATAGTCTTACTGATGAAGATCTAAGTGCATTGCTTTCCCTGCAGAGCAATTTCAAGAAGTGCGTGGTAAGTTTTTATTTTGTTTAAAGCATTATCTATTGATAATGCTGTTCATTTTTATCAGTCTGTATGTTTCCTAGGTCGAATTTGAGTGCTCATCGAGATTTTTAGATTATTAATAATATTATGTTGTTTTATGTATTTCTTTCTTTTAACCTCTGATTCGTGTTAACCCAGTGCCTATGATGCTAATTATAATTAATGGGCTTTCTAGTAAACGTGTATTCCCAAATAGTAATATAACCAGCCATTTCAAGTGCTCACATGAGAAACATGTACATTAAGCATTTATGTAAGACACATTTTGATACAAATCTAGCATTAGGTGCGAGATGTAGGAAAATTGGAACTTAGCTTGCGAGCCTTTTGATTCACTATAAATTTTCTTGTTTCTGGCTACTTTAATGGTGCTTGCATGTTTTACTACTCAAACTCTCAACGAATCTGAACAAAAATGGAAAAATGAAAGTAGCATTTAGACTCTGATACCAAGTAATCAATAAATCAACAAAACCTTCCTAGTGACAAATTACATTCTATCATCTCACTCCCTTCTGGGAGATATAGACACCTCAAGATGAACTTGAAACAATGTTTCATAATTTATACATGTCTGTGGCTACAATAAAAGATTTTGTTCGCTGCTTGTCCAGCAAAAACTCCTTTGTGTGGTTTTCTCAGGAGAAGTGCTGTTTTGCATTATAACTTAATTTGTATGACACTATTAGACAGTTAACCTGCTATCCCTAATTCTGTAGTTTAACATGATAGTACATTCCAGAGCAACTCATTTTTATCTTGCACATAAACTTGTGATCGTTGAAGATTCTTACTGTGGTGAAACATGGTCTCTCCTCTATTGATGCCTGGATGATTTACTGCTTTATATAATGATGCAGAGTGCAAATGGGTTAGGTTTACATGCTGTGAGTGGCAGAGACTATTGCCAAGTCGCAATACAGTTTCCTAGTGACACTGTCCCCAAATGGGTGGGTATTTTTTTTTATTTGTTTAGATACCTTATTGCACTTTTCTACTTTCCCTTATACATGTATTTTCATCCGTGCAATTTGGATAGTAAATATGTAGCACTGTGTTAAACAAGCAACAGGGTGCCAAAACTGATGAGTTCAGAACTACACCCAACTAACACAATTTCACTACTATTCATCAATTTTTAGGGAATAAATCATTCTTCTTGCAACGGATTCTTTCACTTTTATCATTGGAAAGAGCCCATCTTATTTCTAATGCCTTTGTTTTGATTGAAATGCAATTATTTTCACAGAGGGATCCCAAAACAGGAGAACTTGAAGGCTTGTCATTTGATTTTAATCTCTGTGAGGCTATTTCTATATGGGAACGGGTGAGTTTGTTGTTTTCATTTTTCTGCAACTTATTAATATAATAGTTAATGACCACACTGTACTAGGAAGAAACTATACCTGTGTTTTTTGTTCGAGACCCACCCGTTATCCACCTGGTAAAATTGGTCAGTTTTTTTATTTGATTTAGGAGTTTAATTTAGGTTTAATTCATAATTAACAACCGACTTTATCTAAAAGAATGGTACCTACACCAATTTAATGTATTGAATGCCTTTGTGTTGAGTCTTTTATTTGAGTTACGAATTAGATTTGACTTCTTACAGATAGATATGAGGTAACTTTTTAATGTAAAAATTATTTACTCTGTTTTTCTGAGTAGGAGGCTGGCTACATGTTTAGAGGATAAGCCCTCATCTGAGGGATTTTATTAAATACTACCAAAATCATTAAGTGCATATAAGTTCATGCTATCCAATTGACTTTATGCTAATATGATAAGATTCACCAGTGACTTGAATGACACCATTCTTGCATACTGTTAAACTCAAATGAGCAAAACTTTTCTTTCTTTTGTTCTTTGCTTGACTGCTCTCATGTTAATTAATGATCCACTAAGAGTAGCAAAGCCTGCTGGTCTTGAGTTTTTTTTTTCTTTTTTTTATGTTGTTTGTTTGAGTTTTGTTATTTGTCTGATCTAAATTGTTTAGGTGCGGAATAGTACCACAATACTGACCAGGGAATTCATTGATGCTCTACCAAATGGATGGGAGGAATATGCATGGCGCAGGATCAATAAGGGAATACTTCTGTAAGTACGACTATTAAGCTGCATTTAGCTTGATAGTGTGAAATTCCTTAAGAATTTCCTCGACTCTCTGTTTCTCTCTTATTTTCTATCATACTAAAAACAGCTTTAGTACCATGATGAAGAAAATAACCCATGGATATAGGTAATCTACCACAAAATGGATATAGATGATAAGTATTCAAAATGAAAGGTGGGGAGGGGGAGATACTGTACTATGCTTTCGTGTCTATTGTCTACTATGTGTGCTAAACAAAAGTAGCGCTTCTGATTTTTCTTTGACCCCCAGTTTTCCCTGCTTATTTGCTTAGTGGAAAAGAACCTCAGAAAAAGTTTGATGCCTATACCTGAAAGGGATGAACTTGTAAAAGAATACTAATTACAAAAAAAAAAATCTAAGGACTATCTGAGGTGGCAACTAGATATTTTTTCGTCAAGAAAATACTAGGGGTGCAACTTGGGTGGGATCAGGTTGGACTTTTCTCAAAATTTGAATGGGCCCAGCCTGAAGGGCAAAGCCCAAAGCACTGTAAAATGCTAACATGGGCCAACCCGAGTTTTACCCCTAGAAAATACCAAAAGAATTGACAGCCCTATCTCGCCTGACATTATTTTTTATGATACTGCAGTAACCACTGTGAGAATAAGACACTTTGCATGGAGAAACTTGCATTAGTACTGCCTGAGACTCCTCCATTCATTCCTCGGCAATTTGATCGGTGTGCTGTTATTGGAAACTCGGGAGATCTTCTCAAGACAAGATTTGGGCATGAGATAGATCATTATGATGCTGTTGTCAGAGAAAATGGTGCACCAATCCAGGTTCCCTAGCCCATTGTCTTGGACATTTTGTTCCATATTACCTTCTCTCTGATAACCATACATAGTCCTTACCCTCCTTTCTTTTGTTATATTTCAGAACTACACAGAGTATGTAGGTAGGAAAAGTACATTTCGCCTTTTAAATAGAGGATCCGCCAAGGCACTTGATAAAGTTGCTGAGCTGGATGGTATGACACTGCTCCACTTCTTTTATTGTCCTCTAACACTAGTAGAAGCACACTAAAAATATGCATTCTGCAGAAACTGAGAAGGAGGTCTTGATTATTAAGACAACAATTCATGACACCATGAGCAAAATGATCCGGGTTTGTACTTTTTCTTATAGCATCTCAATATACAGTTAATATTTTCTACAGGAGAGGGCTTATGTCAAACTACATGTGTTAAATTGTGAAAATTATCTTCTTTCATCTATTTCAAAACTCTAATGTGCATCTAATTTCTAGTTCACAGAGCATGCTTCTATTACTCGGAATAATCTAATACATATTTTCGTCCACTATTAGCTAAATTTTATATTTTCCAACATCCTTTTAGTTTGCATCATGGTTTAAGTATTTGTTAAGGTCTTATTAGTCCCCCCCCCCCCAAGTCACTGGACTTGGGGAGTGCTACTTACTACAAAGCAAGGGCTTTTTGAGTAAATCTATAATAGTTCAGGTAGTGCCTTACCACCCAGTTGTTATTGGTCTTGGTTCTTGCATTAGCAGATCTAAGCTAAATCTTAAAAATCTTGTTCATCTAGTTCTTCATTTTGCGTTATTACACACTTCTTTTATATTTTTGTAGTAGTTTTTTTTTTTTTTTGCTGAGAAATCACAATAATAATAAATCAATTGCATTGGAAGATTTTTAGTTGTCATAAATGTGTTTTTTCCATATTGCTTTTGACACCTACGTACTATCTTTCTAGTTTACATACTTAATTTCCTGTCTTCTGTAGGAAGTCCCAATACACAATCCAGTATATCTCATGTTAGGTGCATCTTTTGGTTCAGCTGCAAAAGGAACAGGGCTCAAGGCTCTTGAATTAGCTCTCTCTGTTTGTGATTCTGTAGATATGTATGGCTTCACTGTGGATCCAGGTTATAAAGAATGGTGAGGAATCATTTTGACCTTTACATCCTGTGCCGTAAATTCTCTTGTAATTTTAACTGCTTGTGTCATCATGTGCTTCATGATCACATGTGTTTCATGTGATCTTGTTTTTACTTTCAGGACCAGATATTTCTCAGAGTCAAGACAGGGTCATACCCCATTACATGGTAGAGCATATTATCAGATGATGGAGTGTTTGGGAGTAAGTGTTATTAAGTATTTCATTTTCTTTACTGATTAGAAAAACTACCCCATTTTCTTTATTAGTATATATCAAAACTTTCTTCCTTGTGTATGCTGTACACATGTTTCATATGCTGGGCAGGAGGCACCATTTATGGATCCTAGCAAGGAGATCTTTTATGAGAATTAAGTCCATATAGTTCAGTTATTAGCCCTTGACTTTTACACCAATTATTTGTTGTCCACTTTTTTTTTTTCAAATTTTCCAAGAAAAGACTACCAAATTTTCTAATCATTTCTAGTAATTAGCTGGTAGATTCCCTAGTTTTAACCCGCTAGACACTGCTCCCATCCCTTGGCATGTAGGCTTCAACCTATTCTTCCTGACTTGGATAGATTCCTCATTTTATTTATTAGTTTCTAATTTTTAACATATGATCTTTCATTTGTGGTTTTCTTAAGCTTATCAAAATCCATTCCCCAATGCGAGCTGATCCTAACCGCATGGTGAAGTGGGTTCCCAGTCGTGATTCACTGACAGCTGCAAGAATTGCATCAGAGAAATTATTGAGGTAACTGATGCTCATTTTTCAACCTCCCCCCTCCCCACTCCACCCTTCCATTATTCAAGCATTCAATTAAGCAAAAAGAAATATTTAAGATAGGCTAGAAGTTCAGTAGCCATGGATTAGTTCTTCTATCTCTTATCTAACATACATAGCCATCTATTTCACAGTTCAAGACCACTTACTGGTACATTGCACATGATGATGAGAAATCTAGGGCAACCATTAGGAGGATCAATGTTACAGTTTTACCTACATCTTATTGGTAATTGTGGCATTCATATAGGATGTTGCTTTCTCCATTTGATGGTCCCTGCAAGGAATCTCTTATTACCTAGGAGTAAGCCGACGTGAAAATATTAACCATCCATTTGACTACTTCTTGTAAGGTGACATGAAAGCAATAGGGGGAGGGAAAAGATAAGGTGAATGGTACTGATTAAAAAAAAGAAAAGAAAAGAAAGATAAGGTGAATGGTCTACAAGGAGAACAGAATAGTTGATATTGTAGTTTAGTCATTAAGACTAATCTGGCTTCTATTGCCAGATATCTGGGAGATGAAATCCTTTTCTCCCCTCTCACAAGTTGGACATTTTTACTGATAACAATTTGTACTGTCCTTACATTCTACTTAAACCTAATAAGGTACCTGGATTTACTCATTTCTTTGAATGCACGGAAGCTGTTTTTCATGTTGTAGCATGCTCACAGCCTCACAGTGAGTAGTATTTTGTAAACTAGCTACCCTGGTACCCCAAGAAAAAAGCTAAAAAGTAAATATGTTGATCCTCTGTATTTCACTAGCCAGACCGCCAGAGGTAACTTATGCTCCAAGCTTTCTCTGTGCCATGTTACTAAATCATCTTACCATTTGCCATTTTGTATCGTTAATGGTCTTTAATCATTTATGCTTCTTAATCAGCTGGCAAATGTGAATTGTTTAAAACTTTCTTATTTTACTTTTAGTTGACAAAACACCTATTGACCATATCATGATGCCTCCCCATTTTGATGTTGAGAAGGAGGGATGGAGCAGGGACAGGAGACCCACTGGGTGTGTGTTCCATTTCGAAGAAGCGGCGGGAACAAAAGAGTATGAAGCTTTCCATTGTCAGAAGGGCTGCTATAGAGCATCAGAATAATGTGAAAGGCACAACCATGTACCCTCTGGAGCATAGTCTTGGACATGGAATGCTTTGCATAGTGCCCAAATTCTGAATTTTGGAAACAACTATACGAGTCAGAATGCACCAAACATAAGGAGAGGCTAGATTTGACCAGTGAATTGCATCTGAATTCTTCCTAACACATCGTCTAAACCCATTCAAATTCTTCATTCTTTCCAATTATCCATATCTGTGGCCATTACTCTGAACTTCATTAAAGTGGATATCTGGATGAGAGATGGAATATTTTCCATATTTAAGCATACACCAGGTGCTGCTTGAGCCAAAATGTCCAGAGCAGTGATGCACACCCAATTTATCGTAATTGTTCTTTGATTAGCCATCTCGATCCGTCAAAAAGTTCCATATCCAGTAGTAAAGTGTTGGAGGTATGATCACTGGCCACTTGGCCAGCATCTGACTTGGTTTTGCCTCATCGGATTGTCCTATAGCATCTGCGTCAATCTTTTATAGCCTGTTAGCAGTAATTTTATTTAGCAGATCAATTATTATTAGATGTAAGTTTTGTGCCTTGGCCTTCGGAGAGCAAATAATAGGTCCAAAAATTTTTACTAGCGCATTTGTGCCTGTGACATTTGTATTTTGGTCGTATTAATTTATTTATTTGAACTGCTATTTGAATTATTATGATGGCATTCACCGAGCGAAAATTGAGGATTGGAATTCACTGATTTATGCCAACTGAATACTGTAGAACTGTGTCTATTTGTTAGGCTTTGTTTAACGTGATTCTTGTTCAAATATTGTTGGATTCGCCTTTATTGTGTCCACATAATTGACTAAACCACCGGATCAGACAGCTGTTCTATGTAAACGCCTCCGTATCCGAAGCGGGATCTGCTCCTCAAAAATAGGCGCCTCACAGGCACATCCACCGTATATTGGGAGCATCTCCCATGAATAATAACGGGAGATGTTTCCAATGCATGGTAGGGTGCGCGTGAGGCAAGCCAGGTACGAGGAGCAGATCCGGTGACAAAAAATCGCATCATATGTAGACAGCTGTTATATGTTACTGTAACAGAATGGAAGTGCACCATAAATGCAGCAGATCCCGATTCATTTGGATGTCCTATTAGTTACGTGGTGTGATCTGTGATGTTTAGAATGCTTAAAAGCAGGGTGCTATTTACTAGCAGTAGGTGCCAGAAACAAGGCTCCTGCATGCTGCAGCTTGTATTGATTTGAAGAGTTCAGAATGCCTCGTATTCGTGCGGTTGGAAATTTGTCGGCAGATTAACAAACATTTTACAGTTTTACTCGAAACGTAAGGTCAATGAGACAAAACGATAGACACATGGGCTATGGGAAAGGCTTAGCAGCATGAACATGATAGAATTATATTCATGATTTCATTCAGGTATGGTTTTACGTGTAGGAGAATGATTTCGTGGGCATGGAGTTGAGCTTTTTTTTTTCTTGATGACTATCATGGAGCTTTTCACCATTCCGCCACATTCCACATTAGGCTCAATGCCTCAATCAACCTCAACCACTCTGCTCTTATGGTGCTAGTATGCTACTAAGAGGCAATGACAGATTAGTGAACAAACTCTGTTAAGGTCCAATCCTACCAATTTTTGGTCCATTTTTCCGGCTTGTGCTTGGCTTCAGTCTTCAATGTTGAGGCCTCCTGTCATTTTTGTCTAGGGCTTAGTATCTATTCTAGTTTAGATTAGGCACAATACTATACTTCTCTCCTCACAGCCACATCCCACTGTGTTGGAAACATCTCCCTATGAATAATAAATATAAATACAGGAGATGTTCACGATATGTGGCCAGGGCATGCAGTGAGGTCAGTGTGAGGAGCAGATCCAGACTCTAGTTTTCCAGCATCTTCCCCGTGGAGCCAGAATGCTACAATGCAAAATTTATCCACCAAACCAATGGTTAGAAGCTACTGACATTTTTCCTACTACCACCCATTCAGAAGATTTCCCAATATGTTCAAAATGGGAACATGGTTTAACCACTCGATCTTTGCTTTTCCTTTTTCCTATCGCTTAAGAAGAATGGGATCTTACAGGCTGCAGCCTGGAACTTTCACTTCACTTTGCGTGGCAATTCCTTCGGCCCAATCGTCTGATGTGGCATACCCCCAAATTCACTATTTTGTTTGGAAGGGAAATGATAGCAAGCAACTTGGCTTCCGTTCACCATTGGTTCATGGAAAACTCAAAGGATTGAGCACATAGCTGCGCTAGGGGTGATAATGGGCTGGGCCATGGCGAGGCTTAGCACCTATTCTAGGAAGTAAGAATCCAGGCCAGCGTCTGACATAGAAGCCCATGCCTGGGCCAATGCGGGCTTGGTTTTGGGCCTATGGTTTTAAATAAATTAAAAAATATATGAAAAACCAATTAGATATTTAGATTATACTTTTTTTAAACGTCCCCACTCAAAGTCAAAGATTAAAATATTTGAACAACCATCATGGCAACCATGAAAAGTCCGTTATTGCACATGTGCCAACAAAATGAAAATACACAGTTCCAGTTCCGCAAAAAAAGTTACATACAACATTGGGTTTCCTATTGTGCAGTTCCATGTAAGTGCTGAACCTACAAAAAGTCATCTAGAGATAAGTTCTCAACTGACCCAAAGTTAGCAATTGGTTCAAGCCCTGGAAAGTCGACCATTGATCCACCCGAAAGGGCTATTGGAAAGGCATCTGAGAAGTCATTGTCGCATGGGAATGGCAGGCCTATATCATCCACTGTAGGGAAATTTACATGGAGGTAACTAGGTTTATTTACCTCAACTTCAGGAACATAGCAATCCTTTATGGTGCTGATACCAAAGAAGCTGTTTCTTGTGGACTCAGAAAATATGTCTTGATCCGAAGCCTTCCTAGCCCGAATGACCTGTATACAGTAGCAGTATAAAGCATAATCTATAGTCAAGATAACTTAGCTAACCTGATGGACATGAAGATTTTGTGGAAAGGAAAACTGATGTATCTAAGATAGCAAAGATTACATATTTCTGATTTTGATCGTCTCTGTAAAGCATAATGAAGTCTCCGAGTTGTAAGCCATGCATCTTAACAAACTCCCCTGAGAAAATTTAGTGCAATATGGATCATTCCAATGTATCTGGTAGATATTACTCCATAAAAGACAATTGCAATTGCTTGCAAGTTAGGAAGGAATACTGATCTCACCAATATTCTCAAGAATATACATCCGGCTGTTGTTATTAGGCCAAAACCTGAGCATAAAATGAGAGAGACACAGATAAACCATGCATCTATGAGGGGGTAAAAACTTATTACGGATCTCCAAACTATGATTCCTCCAAACACAACAAAAGCATCTTTTCACCTCTCAAAAGAAAACCTACACCTGTTGACTCAATTAAAATAAGTTGAGAGGAACGGGATTTTAAGGATATTTTGGCTGTGCATAGGATAACCAGAAATTTCTCCACGATGCAGTATCCATCACAGTAAGGAATAGGTCAGCATAGATATGGTCAAATATTTGGACATCTATGTCATATATTTCATCTATATAGTCAACAGTGTCGTTGGTGGCCCATTTGGTCACTTGAACACCAACTATCTTGGATTGGCGATGTCATTGCATACATGTGGCATAAATAGTAGAATATGAAAACAGACCTGTATTTGAAGTTCCACACTCGTAGACCATCCATGTCATCCATGTCGATAAACATTCCTTCTTTAGTGTCAAGGATGGGGAGGTGAGCTTCAGCTGCTCTCTGCAATCCAATTTCCCATGATACCTTTTGTAAAATTTCAACATGATGAAATCTAGTCATGGAACATGTGTATATAAGGTGCTGATATATTTCTAAGACAATGCATCAAGTGAGGTATGTTTGATAAATTACAACCAAAAAAAAAAGAAAAAGAAACTGCAAAGATGAGTCTGATGATGTCATGTAAAAACAGAAATACAGAGATTTTGTGGAATACCAATCATCACACCCTTGATGTTCATGGGTCAAATGATCACTTTCAAAGTAGAAAAGCTTAATGCAAACCTTTGGGAGTACCATTCTCCCGAGGGAGCTTACATCACTGTTCCTAAGTTCCTTCTGGAGAAGAAATCTCAACTTCCCAACTTCAATGTCCTACAACATGATATATACAAGTAACCATCAAAACAAAGACCTAAGAAAAGAACAAATGTAGAACTTCAAGTGATCCAAACAAATACATCTCACGTTGTTGGAACAAATGGGTAAATATCTATTGAACCCAAAATCCAACTTCAACATTATGAAACAAAATTCATAATGTATTTTAAAGAAGTAAATAATCGCAAGTCCATGCTGTTTAATTTCTTTAAAACTATTCTTTGTATCAAAAGATAATAGCTCTTTATTTGCCTTTATTATGTACCACATTCATTTAGTTACTTTTGTTATTGAAATCTAATGAATTGTTATACTAACTTCAGCAGCAACTAGTCTACCATGTATTTCCTTCACAAAGTAATAGAAAGAGAGCTCTGTCTCTGATTCATTATGATTTTAACCCAGGAGCAAATATCAAAATCTTTAGAAGGATTGCTAAGTAGGTATTTCTCCAGTAGGCAAACCCTAGTAAATTTATGATTAACAGTGGTTATTGGGCGCATGTCAATTTTGACAAAGAGGGCCCTAATTTATAGTCAAAAACAGCTGTTTAACAGATCACATTAAAGAAACAGATCATCAGATCCTTCAATTGTAGATTTGGTTCTTAACAGAATCCTCATCCATAAAGATAATTCTTGCCATTCATTGTGTCTCCACGTTGTTAGTTCCCCATTTTATCAGTTAATAAGGTCATTACCCAATGTTGGTTCCAGCTATCTGATCTCTTCAGAGGCATAGACTGGATACGGACCTAACCCTTTTTTTAAACACAAAGAGGTGATTGTCGGACTCAAATCTGCATTCTCATGCTTGTCAGCCCAAGATTTTACCACCTTTTTTTAAACACAAAGGTGGCCTCCCAAGATAATTCCACATTGTTTTGATCCTGAACCTTCCACAAGAAGTAGTGTATTACTTCTATATTATAAGCCAAAATTGGAACACACACACACACACATATATATATTCTATTCAGAAAAAAGCAACTTTCTTCTCAAAAAAGGTTATCAACAAAACCTCCTTCGAGATGGAATTATCAGCAACAATAAACCAGTCCAACCATCTACAATACCTCAAAAAAGAGTGAAAAGAAGGATAAGAAAAACATAATGATGAAAAGAGAAAAGAGAAAAAGGAAACATAATGATTATCATAGCCCCCACTAGCATATAAAGCAATCAACCAATTCCGGCAGAAATTAAGGGCCATATGACCAAATTTTAGTTTAAAACAAGATATCGTTTCTTCTTTGTTCTCAAAAGAATGCATCAATTGAACTTCCACTACCAATCTACCATACACATTTTCAACCCTCATCCACCCTATAAGTAATAAATAAAACAAAGTTCACCACTCATACACTATAACTGTTCTTTTTTTCAATACACTACAATTGTAAGATGATATAATCAAGTTCGATGTTGGATCAGTTTATCCACCAATTATGACTCTTTAACCTACATATGGTGGAAAGTAAACTCAAAAATGCCTGTAAATAGGTTTAAGTAAACCAATAACTCGTATTACAGTTAGAGTTTAAAAACAAAAGCCCCTTACCAAGTGCAAAACCAGGTCCCAGAAAAAATTGATTCATATGAATAGAGTAAATCATAAAAATATTTAAAGTTTGCTAAGCAAATTGCATTTTATCAATTGGAGGTGGAAGGCAATCTCATCTGGTCATTTCTTGGACACGATGCAGTACCCAAATCCCATGGATCTATAGACATACTTTTCAGGAAACTGAAAGTATAACAAGGGAACTAACGGTTACTTTTAAATAGGTGAGAAGAACAGAAAATGGGATGGTGGAAGGGGCTTTCAGACAACAAATGTTTTGGGCAAAGTTGTAATCCTTTGTTTGTGTGAGGTGGATAATAATCCCACCTTGATATAACCTTCAAGTTTGTCTTTAATAAAATCTATTCTTACTGATAAAAAATAACAAAGTCAACTGTAAGATGCAAATAATAGTTATAAATTTTTTTAGATGAGGATTCAACCATAAGATTTGAATTGAAACTTTAAGATTCACAATTTTAATCACCAATCATATTACAACCTGTAAATTTAAATGATTGATTGATTGACAGTCGTCTAGTACATCATCATCATTCACCAGAGAATACCCCATCCACCGAAATGGCTTCCTCCAAGCTTAGAAGTTCTTTCTCCTTTCCTAATCTCCTCCTGTCTTCCCTCAGTTTCATTCTATTCATCCTATCATCGGCCTCTTTTCCTCCCATTTTTCTGCTCAAGAATCCCCCTACTTCACTCGGTTGGGCACTCCTCGTGGTCTCCTGCCTCTCACTTCTTTCATCTCTTGTGGGCTTCTACTCTCAGCTCACTCGTTTCCGTTTCATAACCCATATTTCCCTTCTCCTCGCTTCATCTATCGGCCAAGTGCTCAGCATCCTGGCCTTGTTTACCCAAGAGAATTCAAGCCTCCAATTGCTAAGCTCTCCAAGCGATCCGAAAGAAGCTCAGTTTTTGGTCAGGGTGGAGTGTGGGACTCTAATGGCTATGCTCCTTACGGACCTGGGTGCTCTGGTCTTGGCTTGTGCGGTTCACAGCTGTTGGGTGAAGGAGTATGAGGGGTTGGAAGCTGAGAGGGAGGCGACAGCAAGGAAAATTAAGCAGGAGGATGGCTCGAGTGCAGGAGGAGTCGATGGCAAATGCAGCCAAGATTGCAGAGGTCCGTGCAAAGGAATTAGATGAGAAGATGAAGAACAAATACGGGCAGTGGGTGAAAACTGATTTTGAAGGCTAACAAAAATATATAACAAGCTGTGGTTATGTGATAAGGTATTCCTTCATTTGGGGGTCACTATGGGGTGGCCACGGGAGAAGGTTTCCAAGTTTAAGTACCTTTCGTACTTCATTTTTTTTGGTGATACTTGTATTAAGTATATGAAGGTAATGCTTTATGGCTTTCCATAGGCTAATGTAAAGCTTGAGTTGTGTGTGTGTGTGTGTGTTGATGTGTGATGAAATCTGTATCTTCGTTCTTTTTTCAACTTACTTTCGTGGGTCCCGTTATCTATAAAAAAATAAATAAATAAATAAATGATTGACAACAAAACAGATGTCTTAGTGTCAGGAAATTTTTCTTTGGCGACCTTTTAACCTCTTTAGAGGTTCATACTCACCAGAAGAGAAAAGGATAGTATTAGAAACTCAAAAACTCTAGCAATTAGATCAATAGAAGTGAATAGACGTATTAACTATACAGGGCCAACAATGTACAGAAATGGACATAACAAGGTTCAGAAAGCTTTACTAACATAAGCTGTCCTTTTGAACTACCTAATCAGTTACAATCAAGGAAAAGCTTCTTTCAGAGGTTGGCTAATAATAAGTCAATAACTACCAGTGGACTTTTCTTCAATTTTTTCAGGTAGTGGCCATATGCTCAATAAAGTTCAAATATAATTATTTGAGGCATAGGAATTTCCATCTTACAAATTTCCATATCTTAAACCTCCTATAATTGTATTATTTGTCAAGGCTATAAAGAAAGTTAAGAAAATGATAGTAGCATTGGATGGTTTCCACAGAATATGGTTTTATAATTAATTGTATGTACTACTACTGTTTACTAAATATGTATATTAAATAAATATTCCATTGGCAAAACTACTTCATTTCTGAAAGAAACTTGAAACATGTAATGGAGAGACTGCCTTGGTACATTAACAAGAAATAGGCTTGCAGGGGAACTCAGGTTGTATTCAGTTCAAGTTCAGCAAACTAAAGCATGGAAGATATTCCTTTTTCTTTTGGACAGATATTCATGGATAAGTCCATTCCTGAATACAAGTCTTTGATTCCTCCTTGTGAGAAGAACTAATATTTTTTAATGCTCAGACACATCCACAAKCAACTCATACAGGGAAAAAGACATCTCTTCTATAGCACCAAAATTGCAAAAACAGTCTAGGTAGGTAAGCTTAAGGAAGAGACAGAGCATATACCCAATTATAAGTAGAACATTCACCAAATATGCATTTCTTCATTGCAACTATATGGCATTTAACCAGAAAACTAGGCAGTGGTAAACTGCATAGCTGACATTCCACTGGAACAATTTGTTCAGAAGACGAGAACAATGATTTGGTAAATATAGTTATAGTTATGGGATTTTCAACCAACAGCATAGAGAGGTCCACCATGGGTCAACCAGTCCAACCTTTGATTATGATTGAAAGGCTTCTCCTCAGTTGACGCCTACTCTCGCATGCTTTAAAAATGACAAAAATAGGATGCAGTCTAGGTTTTTTATTCTATCTTACCTATGAAAAATTAAAAGGCCGTCTATATAATAAAATGTATGTCGCCCACGGCAATACTTTTTAAAGCAAGAAGGTCTAATCATCTTGAGAATGGCAGAAAAAAAACAATGACAGGAAACAGAGTTGAATAAGCATGAAATCTCAGTAACAGAAAATTTCAGATTATAATAATCAGACTCCATCCCCTCAATCTCTGGAATTTGCTACCACTTTCTTTGACTAGGTAAATATTGAAAAAAAAATGAAATTCAGGTTTAGTTTAATATAATATAAATTTCAGGTCACTACATTTAAAAATACATAGAAGGGTTTAGATATAATAAAATAGAATTACAGAAGAAGATGTTCACGTCATAAGGGCATTCCATTATTCCATGGGCAAGAAAAAAAAAGACGAAATCACATAAGCCCCAAAAATAAAATAAAATAAATACAGGCAAACATGTATTCTATTCTGCATCCCCAGTTGAGGCGATTAGAAAAGGATTTCGGAAAATATGAAACATGGGTTCATCATAATATAATATGTCAGAGATCGGCTCAACACAACAATCAGACTTGAGCAAAAGTTATCGTCATTAGGTCAGAGGAAGAAAGAAAGAGTAGTCATGGAGGAGCATAATTAAAAAGAAAAACGGAACCACGAAAGGGAAATAAGGAAGGCTTACACGTGCAGCGAGAGCAGAACTGCCATCGACGGGCAAAGTTTGCACGTGCGAGCTGGATGAGGCAAAAGGCAAAGGGTTGATGCTGACTCGCCTCTGCCGCGCCATACGTTTCTTCCTATTCGTTCGGAAACTTGTCTCAGCGACAAGGTCGCGAGTAGCTTCGTTCCGATCCAACTCATCGTCGGTCCTGTCTCCTCTCATCGTGACAGTGTTAGGTTTTCCGGGAGCACCTGACATTAAAACAAACGCCTCGGTTTCCTGAAACGACTGTTTTATTTCTAACATAGGGTTAGATAAGCTTTGTGTACGATTTTTCCCCTTTTTTTTTTTTTTTCTTCTTCTAAGTTTGTGTGAGTGTGCGTGTATGTGATGGAGCTGACTGACGATAGACGCTCGGCGAATACGAAATGAGAGTGAAAAAGAGAAGGGTTTTCGGATTTAGTGGAAGCTTTCTATTTTTAGAATGACTTTGGTGACCAAGGACTCCGATTTGGACGACATTTGTGCAATCTGTGTTCATTTTTTTTTTCTTTTCTGATTTGCTTTTTAGGTTATTCTACCCTTGTTTTTATTCAGAAGAAATTGTCTTTCGGTTCTGATAATGATCATAAATCACTCTGAGACCGCGATGAGGAAAATTAGGAAGGTTTAGGCTCTCGGTTTTTTTATGTATTTTTCTTGGGTTTGTAGATGGAAGATCAGGGAATAGGAGGTATTGCCAAGGAATGAGCGACGGATGGAAGAGAAGTATCTGAATTATTCTGCTTTGAAGCTCCAAGTGTAGAAAAAGTTCTGATTTCTGCAACGGAAATGAATGGCAGGGTTTCGGAGTCTTTCCGCAAATAGGACTCTCTCTTTCTCTTTCTCTTTCTCTTTCTCTGTGTGTAAAGGTTGGAGGTTGGAATAGTGTGCAGTGGTTTTTGAATTTGAAGTTTGAACCGAAAATCAGATTACTGCAGCAGGGATTCAGCAGGGATTCTCCCTCCAGCTCTCTACAGCTAGTTTGATTAGTTTGGACGACGGCTCTACTATACAATTATGCACCAGCCAGGCATTTTGTTTCGTTAGATCCGAATCTACGTAAAACCTGTTGCTAATTTGCTATGGAATTTGGTTATGTACTATTTAGCTTTGTCCGCTTATGGATGCAAGCATTTCCAAATGTTCGTAGCGCTACTGCTGGTTCAGACGTTCAGTGCATTTTTAACGGGACAATTTTGTCCTGAAAACATTTGGTGCAACACTGCAAGTCAGCAACGTATGGGGCCATTCAGCTTTGGTTTAAAATATACTGTTTCCTTGCCGAATGAGACATTTGACACCCACGCGAATCCAACTTTGCTTCGTAGCGTGTCCTTTCATTATAGTTTGTATTACCAGCAGATGCTCCGTGCTGCATACAGATAAACAATAAGCAAACTAAAATTTAGGTTACCTTTTTATCAATGTTTTGAAACACTTTTTTTTTGGGGTTTTTTTGGTGTGTGTGCGTGTGGAGGTTGGAAGGCATGTGATGATTTGGCAATTTTTTCCATTTCCCTATCGTGGGGATATGTCCTGAATGGGATGAAGATGGGAAGTTTTTCAGTTAGCGGGGACGGGGCAAGCACTCTCCACTTCGCGGGAATTCCGATCCTCGCCCCGTATGTATGTATAGTATGCTTTCTTTATGTTTTAATCTTTTCTAATAGGATTRTAAATTTTAATTATTTTAAATAAAACAAAAATAATAATAAAATGATTAACATTATAAAAAATCACGGGGGATGGGGATCCCCGTAGGAACAGGAATGGGGATAACCTTGTCCCCGTTAGTGGGGGATGGGGACGGGGATGGGGAGAGGCTCCCCCTGCCCCGTTGCCATTCCTATCCACTAATTGGGCCAATTTGACCATCAAATTGAATGGGTCAACCCATCAATTGGATTGGGTCAACCAGGTCTGGGTTGAACCCAACCCATGTAGCCTTAATGGGTTAGTGGGTTAGATGGTTTAGGTTGAAGCTTAAACCAAACCCAATCCAACCCACCCAAACCTGGCAAATTGCCACCCTTAGTTCAACCCAGATAATATGAACCAAACGGTCCACACCACACTCTATGAGATGTTTCGTAATGTGGTAGTACCCTCAAACTAAAACAACGAATCAAGGCTCCACCTGGGGTTCTGCCTTAATATTTTTAAGTCCAAGAAAATGAACGTTATGTTTGGCTTAATAGAAAAATAATAGTGAAATAGAAAGTTTGGGAAGAGGTTTTAGGTTGTGTTCATTTTGAAGGGAAATAAGAGAGAAACAAAAGGTATGATTTTTGGCTCTAGCAACCCTTGAAAATTGCAAAAAAAAAWAAGCCACTTTAAACCCTAAAGAAATAGAATGGCCATTTTTTGCTTTCAAATTAATATTATTTATGATTAAATTATTACATAAACAATAACTTGTTAATTGGTTTAACTAATAGTAAATTATTAATTGATGTAATGCGATCTAGTAGCTCCCTATCAGAGGACAGTTTGGACTTGGGTTAATGATGTCGCCTGGTCAAGCTACAAAGTAAGACTGTCAGAATGTTTGAGGTGCTTTACTCGGTGTGGGCATTCCAATGCTTAAGTTAGTGATGTAGAGATTTGAGAGAGCTAATAGCTTAATTACAATAGAATTTGAGAGTTAAATCACGTGTACCTTGTGAGGCTAGAGGCAAGGCCTTTATATAGGCAAGTTGTTGTGGGCCTCACGATGCGTGTTCAATATCGTTGGCCCGTCGAGTCCGAAGTTAGTTTTGCACCCAAATATGGACTCCGTGTAAACTAATCAAGCTTATCTAGGTCCGTTTGAATCGGACGAGGGAAGATAAGATCTATTGATGTATGTTGTGATCCCGATGAGATCGGAGACAAGTGACTTGCTTCTAGAGGGAGGTTGCATGGCACCTCAGTAGGTCGGTGCATGTAGCTAAACTACTCGAGCCTCTATCTAGTTGGGTTACCCGAGGTGCCCAAGGTGATTGGAATCGCTGAGGTATTCGAGGTCGTTAAAGTGTCACCACATCATACCGTCACTCCACGTGTCATCACATCATTGGTCGGGCCAAATTATCCTTAATCCCTAATCACTTAATTTACTTTATTAACTAAGTTAACTTGATAACTCAATTTGCTTAAACTAATTTACAGAGATCCTTTAATTGCTTTATTTACATATCTTAATTTAATTAATTAACAAGTAACCTAATTTACCTTTTTACCTTAATTAGCTTTGATTATTTAATTGCTCTATTCACTTAGCTTAATTTACTTAATTGAATTAATCAATTATGTATTTCATTAGTGGACTCAGTTTATTTATATACTTTAATTAGCTTAATTTTTATTTTCTATATATACTTGACTTAATTTACTTATTTAGGTCGATTAACTTTGTTTATTTAATTAACTTAACTTCCTTAATTAGTTTAATTTACTTATTCAATTGCTTAATTTATATGGTTGACTTAATTTACTTAATTATCTTAGTTAATGTAGATCATTTAATTTAATTAATCTATCTAATTAGATTAATTTACTTAACCAAATAATTAATTCACTTAATTGACTTAATTTACTTATATAGTTTAATTTATTTAATTGCTCTATTTACTTAATTTAGTTTACTTAATCAATTAGTTAATTCATGGTTTTAAATCGTCATTGACATGGGTAGTGAAACTGTTCGACTTATAAACCAGTCAACTATTTTATTATAGTTTATACTTATCATTTTTCAAAAACCACGTTCACTTGGCCAGTAAATGAATAAAACTGCTAACACGGACAATTGAACTGCTAAATTGTTTCACCCGGTGAATGGTTTTGGGGTCAATTGTTATTTTTTACTTTTTAATTTTCAAAAATGCCGCCTAAGTGATCCATATGGACTTAGGTGATTGAACTGTTGACTTTGAAATCGGTGGCCAAATTTAGGTCGATTTTTAAAGTATTGCTTAACTGGCTTGATTTACTTATTTAGATCAATTAGCTCTATTCATTTAATTTGCTAAATTAATTTAGTTTTTCATTTATTGTCTAACAGATTTGTTTTAAAACGACTTTTTTATCATAGTTTGAGGGCAAAAATGACCATTTCAATTATTTAAGAAATAAAGTAGCAAAGTTGAATGGTTATTACAACCAAAAATCCAAATTTAAAAGGAAAATTGTCAAAAAATCACCATGACTTTTCAGCATTTCGTTTAAACTCATCACAACTTTTCAAAATGTATAAAACTCACCATGTCATTAACTTTACGTTAAAGATACTAACAGCTGTTAATATATTACCATTTTAACCTTCATAGAAAAATATAAAATATATACATATATTTTAATATTTAGACATGAAAAAAAAAGGAAAAAAGTTCAAAAAATATTTTTAAATATAAATTACATAAAAACACAAAAATTACAAAAAATATAAAAAATTATAGAAATTACACACAAAATAAAAAGTTATTTTCAAAGTATAGAAACTATAGAAAATGAAAAACAAAACCAGAAAATAAAATTTATAGAAAAAACAACAAAAGTTATAGAAAAACACAGAAATTGAAAATAAATAACAAAAAAATACAAGAATTTTTATAGATGGTAGAAAATATAAAAATGTAAAAAAAAACAGAATTTATAAAAAAATAGTAGAAATTATAACAAAACACTAAAAATGTAAAAAAAAAAAAAAGAAAATTGAAAAATGAAAAATGAAAAAGACCCTTTTTCCTCTAACTCGCCATTCAAGGGTGATTTGGTCATAAAAATTATTATTTACGCTGACATGGACACCTCTGTTAAGAAACATTAACGGTGCACTAACGGAAGGTGAGTTTTGATAAATAAAAATTTACTAACATGGTGAGTTTTAGATGTTTTGAAAAGTTATGGTGAGTTTAACAGAAATGGTAAAAACTCATGATCAGTTTTTGACAAATTCCCAATTTAAAATGTTTCAGTCCATAACTCAATATTAGTTCTATACTCCCATGCATAAACCATTTAAAATCATAAAATTTCATTGGAAAACTTGCCTATAAACCATAAATGAGTGGTTTATAGGCACATGGCAAGTACTTAGGCATTAACATTTCCCCTATAAACATAGGACAGCGAGCCAAACCTATGTGGCCATTTGGACTTCCGACTGAATTGCCACGTGAAAGATGATTCTTAGATCATTTAAGGAAGCTTACTAAAACTTGACCCACACCCATGCATGCCTCTCTCACATAGACTGATAAAAATATGCAACTATGCTAACAATATAACCCGAGTGACCTAAACGAAATTTGACCAAAACGATTAACCGATTAAGTTTAATTTTTTTTAACCGATTAACCAAAACGAAAATTGACCTGAACTAACCTGAGTGACCAACCCCCCCAACTTGACCAGGTCGATTTGGTTGTCCAAACAACCTACAACTAAATCAAACCAACCTAAGAAAAATAGTTTAATCCCCAATAGTTATTAAAATTTTATAGCAAAAATACACAATAAATTAAATTTACAAAGCTAAATAATAGTAGTTTAAATTCCAATAATCATTGAATATTTTCTATTAAATAACAAAAGAAAAATAGATTTATACATAATTATTGAAAATATATTTATCACAAAAAATAATGAATAATTACTAAAATACAATAAATGTTAATTTTATAATAGATAAACATATAATAAATAAAGATTAAGTTTTTAAAACTACTATTAATAAATAATATWTTTTTTAATTTCTTTTCTATAATTATTAATTGGTATAAATGAAAAGTAGTTATTTATAATATTATTTATTTATTGAAATAATATCATTATTTAGATTTTAAAATAATAATTACTTGTTGAATTTTAATAATCCATACAATTATAGTACTATTGATACATAATTTTGTTATTTTAACTATTTAAAATCTAGTTATATTAAATATTTTGTTATTTAAAATATTTAGTTATTTAACTAAATATTTAATATCTTAATCCATTTATTATAATTTAAAGTTGCTCAATAACTATTTAAAATATATTATTAATTGATTTAAAATATTAATTTTAATATTTTTTATTTAAGATATTTATTTATTGAAATATTTAAATAATATTTCATTTTTAATGTTAGATTTGTATCGTTTGAATAACATTTAGATTGAACAATCCATAAAATCATAATTTATGTTGTTTGTACATCATTTCATGATAAAATTCATAAAAATATATAA